CCCCCCCCCCCCCCCACCCCGTATAAAACGTTCTTGAGTACCCCTCTCCCCCACCCTCCGGCTCGCTGGAAAGCCGAGAAAGGCGTCCTGCTGCGCTCTAAGGCTAAGCTCTGTGGATGGCCAAGTCAAACCCTGCATTTCGACTCTCTCACAGTAGACTACGAGCTGTTTCTTATTTTACTTTTTAGACATGGTAGATCGCGAGCACGGTAATTCGCGCCTTTAATTTACATGTTTCGCCCGCCGCTTGTACATTTATGCGGCTCTGAGGAAAGAATGACGAACACGCTCGGTCTTCTCTCACAGACAACGTAGCAGTTAAAGACCACCTTAATTTTTTCAAAAGTGATCTCATTTCTCTGAGACTGTCTTGTAAGACATTGTAACGGCTATTATATTCAACCCTCACTAAACATTTTCTATCAAATTAAATCATTATTTTTATTATTTTATTTTTCTGTGACAATTTGCACTTAATAATGGTGATAAGACTGACAGGATTCATTTGATTATTCCGTTCTTATTTTAGGCTAATTGCCCGGTGTGGGGGGTACTTCGTTATAAGAGGCTAATGGGGATGTGCCGCTGGATGGGGACGCATTTTCACGACTGGATTGACTATAATGGGGTCGCATTTTCACGACTGGATTGACTATAATGGGGTCGCATTTTCTTTAGAGTTACCAGATTGGGGTTGCACATTTCCTGATTTTTGAAGTAAGATAGGTCCTCAGATTTATGGTTAGCAAACGTACCAGAATGTTTGTACTGTAGGTGAAAAGTAAAGTGTTCTTCATTCAATATAAGGTAGATACATCAATTAAAAGTGACTAAGTTGGGATCATGAAAATTACATATTTGCATAAAAGTGACTGAGATGGGGTCTATAATTGGCCACAGAATTGACTATAATGGGGTAGGGACTCTGAGAGGCCAGCGGCACATACCCAGCAAAAATTAACCCAAGTACCCCCTGGGGCTAATTGACCTCTAGGCTTAATCTCGGGGTTAGGATTCAGGATTTTGAAATTTGCAAATGCTTTCAAAAAGGCTTAGATATCAATTGACATTAAAATAAAACACCGATGAATGTATAGAAAGGTCTATTCGGTCTTGAATCATATAATCGATCCGCCGTATTGATGGATCACACAACGTCTGGACAACGGCCCCCCCCCCCCCCCCCCCCACCCTCCATAGAGCGCTCCCCCACAGGGTGTTTTTTTTTAAAAAAAATTTTTCACTGCGGAGGCGGGGGGAGAAAACGTCCTTTTATAAAAAAGAATGTCAGCAACTAAGTTCCCCCAATCATACCTACATTTGTTAGAA